TACTGTGTTACTACTATGTACTAGTACTGTGTTACTACTATGTACTAGTACTGTGTTACTACTATGTACTAGTACTGTGTTACTACTATGTACTAGTACTGTGTTACAGAGATGGGAGGTGCCAGTACAGGAGGCGCATGCCAGAACTATTGGACATATTTTTAGTGGTAGGGGAAACCGGAGTACCCGGAGGAAACCTACGCAGACACGGGGAGAACATGCAAACTCCACTCAGAAAGGCCCTGGTCCGACCGGGATTCGAACCCAGGACCTTCTTGCTGAGAGGCGAGAGTGCTATCCACTCAGCCACCGTGCCGCCGTAGTACTGTGTTACTGCTATGTACTAGTACTGTGTTACTGCTATGTACTAGTACTGTGTTACTGCTATGTACTAGTACTGTGTTACTGCTATGTACTAGTACTGTGTTACTGCTATGTACTAGTACTGTGTTACTGCTATGTACTAGTACTGTGTTACTGGTTTTGCAGTGAGCTCTTCTTCAGTCTGAGGGTGGATTACAGAGACACATGGACCCAGAGGTTCTGCACAAATGTGTTCTTTCAGAATTTTCAGCTGGTTAGCACTTGTACCTCACAGTAAGAAGGTCCTGGGTTTGATTCCACCTCCAGAGTTTCCTCCAGGTGCTCCACTGGTCATGGGTCTGAATAATACCTCATTGTTCCCTGTGCTGCAGTAAATTAAAGTCCAGAGAGAGACCAGAGAGAGACCAGAGAGAGACCAGAGAGAGACCAGAGAGAGACCAGAGAGAGACCAGAGAGAGACCAGAGAGAGACCAGAGAGAGACCAGAGAGAGACCAGAGAGAGACCAGAGAGAGACCAGAGAGAGACCAGAGAGAGACCAGAGAGAGACCAGAGAGAGACCAGAGAGAGACCAGAGAGAGACCAGAGAGAGACCAGAGAGAGACCAGAGAGAGACCAGAGAGAGACCAGAGAGAGACCAGAGAGAGACCAGAGAGAGACCAGAGAGAGACCAGAGAGAGACCAGAGAGAGACCGAGAGAGAGAGACCAGAGAGAGACCAGAGAGAGACCAGAGAGAGACCAGAGAGAGACCAGAGAGAGACCAGAGAGAGACCAGAGAGAGACCAGAGAGAGACCAGAGAGAGACCAGAGAGAGACCAGAGAGAGACCAGAGAGAGACCAGAGAGAGACCAGAGAGAGACCAGAGAGAGACCAGAGAGAGACCAGAGAGAGACCAGAGAGAGAGACCAGAGAGACCAGAGAGAGACCAGAGAGAGAGACCAGAGAGAGACCAGAGAGAGACGAGGAAGTAACAAGTTTATCTTTATGAGTAGATTAGCTAACATGCTAAAGGCTGATTTATTTTAGCCTCATATTAGATGAAGATGAGAGGTGCGTTCTGCAGTGAGGACCATGTGTGTAATCCATGAGTTCTGTTAAATTGGTTTTGCTCCTGATCAGAAAGACACCACTGTACATGCACACTGTTCAGGAGGAGCAGGAGGAGGAGCAGGAGGAGGAGCAGGAGGAGGAGCCTGTCCCCACCTCCTCTGAGTTAAACCTGTGTCTCCTGCATCAGTTTGATCAGGTGTAGATTAACTTTTATCACTCGAATCAAGAACAAACTGCAAAGGTCACTTTCATTTACTGCTGTCATATAAAAGAGAGAGACCAGAGAGAGAGAGAGACCAGAGAGAGAGACCAGAGAGAGAGACCAGAGAGAGAGACCAGAGAGAGAGAGAGACCAGAGAGAGAGAGAGACCAGAGAGAGAGAGAGACCAGAGAGAGAGAGAGACCAGAGAGAGAGAGAGACCAGAGAGACCAGAGAGAGAGAGAGACCAGAGAGAGAGAGAGACCAGAGAGAGAGAGAGACCAGAGAGAGAGAGAGACCAGAGAGAGAGAGAGACCAGAGAGAGAGAGAGACCAGAGAGAGAGAGAGACCAGAGAGAGAGAGAGAGACCAGAGAGAGAGAGAGAGAGACCAGAGAGAGAGAGAGAGACCAGAGAGAGAGAGAGACCAGAGAGAGAGACCAGAGAGAGACCGAGAGAGAGAGAGACCAGAGAGAGAGAGACCAGAGAGACCAGAGAGAGACCAGAGAGAGACCAGAGAGAGACCAGAGAGAGAGACCAGAGAGAGAGACCAGAGAGAGACCAGAGAGACCAGAGAGAGACCAGAGAGACCAGAGAGAGACCAGAGAGAGAGAGACCAGAGAGAGACCAGAGAGAGACCAGAGAGAGACCAGAGAGAGACCAGAGAGAGACCAGAGAGAGACCAGAGAGAGACAGAGAGAGAGAGACCAGAGAGAGACCAGAGAGAGACCAGAGAGAGACCAGAGAGAGAGACCAGAGAGAGAGACCAGAGAGAGACCAGAGAGAGACCAGAGAGAGACCAGAGAGACCAGAGAGACCAGAGAGAGACCAGAGAGAGACCAGAGAGAGAGACCAGAGAGAGACCAGAGAGAGAGACCAGAGAGAGACCAGAGAGAGACCAGAGAGAGACCAGAGAGAGAGACCAGAGAGAGACCAGAGAGAGACCAGAGAGAGACCAGAGAGAGAGACCAGAGAGAGACCAGAGAGAGACCAGAGAGAGACCAGAGAGAGACCAGAGAGACCAGAGAGACCAGAGAGAGACCAGAGAGAGACCAGAGAGAGACCAGAGAGAGACCAGAGAGAGACCAGAGAGAGACCAGAGAGAGACCAGAGAGAGAGACCAGAGAGAGACCAGAGAGAGAGAGAGACCAGAGAGAGACCTTTGCTCTCTCACAGTTTGAGTCATTTATTAATCTACTTTATTCTATTGATACATTGTACTTTTAGCTCCTGGTCTAAAAACTGCTTTAAGGAAGTTCCAGGAGTTTCCTGGTGTCATTTACAGTCTGTTTATATCATATATATACATCTGTGAAGTGTCCAAACAGCCTCTGGGGGTCTCTCCTGTAGTGTGCTCTCTCCTCACAGATGTTCCTCTGTCCTCTAGCTTAGCGCCCTGCAGGTTAGCTTAGCGCCCTGCAGGTTAGCTTCCTGGGGCTGATGGACATTAGCTGATGACTGTGGTCCTGGTTCTGCTGCAGGAGGATGATAAAGTCCTGTCGTTAATGCTGACCTCAGAGAGACACGCTCTGCTCCGTTTGCAGAGTCTGTAGCATTAGCTAATTGTTCTGACGAGGAGACGGCGAGGACACGGCGAGAGCCAAACCAGGACGCTGCCAACGCACCGACACTAGCGTCTTACTGCACAAGGTGGGGATGGTGTGTTCAGGGTGATGAGCTGTGTTGCTTTTACGCCAAACATATCGTTTTGCATTGTGGCCAAAAAGTTTGATTTTGGTTTCATCTGACCAGAGCACCTTCTTCCACATGTTTGGTGTGTCTCCCAGGTGGCTTGTGGCAAACTTTAAACGAGACTTTTTATGGATATCTTTGAGAAATGGCTTTCTTCTTGCCACTCTTCCATAAAGGCCAGATTTGTGCAGTGCACGACTGATTGTTGTCCTATGGACAGACTCTCCCACCTCAGCTGTAGTTATCTGCAGTTCATCCAGAGTGATCATGGGCCTCTTGGCTGCATCTCTGATCAGTCTTCTCCTTGTTTGAGATGAAAGTTTGGAGGGACGGCAGGGTCTTGGTAGATTTGCAGTGGTCTGATACTCCTTCCATTTCAATATAATTGCTTGCACAGTGCTCCTTGAGATGTTTAAAGCTTGGGAAATCTTTTTGTATCCAAATCCGGCTTTAAACTTCTCCACAACAGTATCTCGGACCTGCCTGGTGTGTTCCTTTGTCTTCATGGTTCTCTCTGCGCTTTAAACAGAACCCTGAGACTATCAAAGAGCAGGTGCATTTATACGGAGACTTGATTACACACAGGAGCATTCTATTTATCATCATCAGTCATTTAGGACAACATTGGATCATTCAAAGATCCTCACTGAACTTCTGGACTGAGTTTGCTGCACTGAAAGTAAAGGGGCCCAATAATATTGCACGCCCCACTTTTCAGTTTTTTATTTGTTAAATTTTTTAAAATTATCTAATACATTTTGTTCCACTTCACGATTGTGTCCCACTTGTTGCTGATTCATGACAAAAAATTAAATTTTTATATCTTTATGTTTGAAGCCTGAAATGTGGCAACATGTTGAAAGGTTCAAGGGGGCCGAATACTTTTGCAAGGCACTGTATATCTGCTACAGAGAACAGAGCTTTTTACAATCATACTTTAGAGCGTTCTACACAGTGAGAGAGACTGGACACAGTGAGAGAGACTGGACACAGTGAGAGAGACTGGACACAGAGAGACTGGACACAGTGAGAGAGACTGGACACAGTGAGAGAGACTGGACACAGTGAGAGAGACTGGACACAGTGAGAGAGACTGGACACAGAGAGACTGGACACAGTGAGAGAGACTGGACACAGTGAGAGAGACTGGACACAGTGAGAGAGACTGGACACAGTGAGAGAGACTGGACACGGTGAGAGAGACTGGACACTGGTGAGAGAGACTGGACACTGGTGAGAGAGACTGGACACAGTGAGAGAGACTGGACACTGGTGAGAGAGACTGGACACGGTGAGAGAGACTGGACACTGGTGAGAGAGACTGGACACAGTGAGAGAGACTGGACACTGATGAGAGAGACTGGACACTGGTGAGAGAGACTGGACACAGTGAGAGAGACTGGACACTGGTGAGAGAGACTGGACACAGTGAGAGAGACTGGACACTGGTGAGAGAGACTGGACACAGTGAGAGAGACTGGACACAGTGAGAGAGACTGGACACAGTGAGAGAGACTGGACACAGTGAGAGAGACTGGACACTGGTGAGAGAGACTGGACACAGTGAGAGAGACTGGACACTGGTGAGAGAGACTGGACACAGTGAGAGAGACTGGACACAGTGAGAGAGACTGGACACTGGTGAGAGAGACCTCACACCAGACAATCTACAGACTGTATATGTGTGACATCACCACAGTGTGACATCACCACAGTATGACATCACCACAGTATGACATCACCACAGTGTGACGTCTGTGATGGTGTCTGATGGTGTGGTTGATGGTGTCTGATGGTGTGGTTGATGGTGTATGATGGTGTGGTTGATGGTGTATGATGGTGTGGGCGATGGTGTATGATGGTGTGGTTGATGGTGTCTGATGGTGTGGTTGATGGTGTATGATGGTGTGGTTGATGGTGTATGATGGTGTGGGCGATGGTGTATGATGGTGTGGTTGATGGTGTATGATGGTGTGGTTGATGGTGTATGATGGTGTGGTTGATGGTGTATGATGGTGTGGGCGATGGTGTATGATGGTGTGGTTGATGGTGTATGATGGTGTGGTTGATGGTGTCTGATGGTGTGGTTGATGGTGTGGTTAATGGTGTATGATGGTGTGGTTGATGGTGTCTGATGGTGTGGTTGATGGTGTCTTATGGTGTGGTTGATGGTGTCTGATGGTGTGGTTGATGGTGTTTTATGGTGTGGTTGATGGTGTCTGATTGTGTGGTTGATGGTGTCTGATGGTGTGGTTGATGGTGTCTTATGGTGTGGTTGATGGTGTCTGATTGTGTGGTTGATGGTGTCTGATGGTGTGGTTGATGGTGTCTGATGGTGTGGTTGATGGTGGTTGATGGTGTCTGATGGTGTGGTTGATGGTGGTTGATGGTGTCTGATGGAGTGGTTGATGGTGGTTGATGGTGTCTGATGGAGTGGTTGATGGTGTATGATGGAGTGGTTGATGGTGTCTGAAGGAGTGGTTGGTCTGATGGTGTGGTTGGTCTGATGGAGTGGTTGATGGTGTATGATGGTGTGGTTGATGGTGTCTGAAGGAGTGGTTGGTCTGATGGTGTGAAACCTGAGCTGTAGCAAACATCATGTGTTTGTCCTTCTCTGTGTGAGGAGCAGGACAAAGGGTGATGATGACGAGGCTGGAGAGGAAGATACAACTGTCTGTCTCTGTCTCTGTCTCTGTCTCTGCCTCTGCCTCTGTCTCTGCCTCTGCCTCTGTCTCTGTCTCTGCCTCTGCCTCTGCCTCTGCCTCTGCCTCTGTCTCTGTCTCTGTCTCTGCCTCTGCCTCTGCCTCTGCCTCTGTCTCTGTCTCTGTCTCTGTCTCTGCCTCTGCCTCTGTCTCTGTCTCTGTCTCTGTCTCTGCCTCTGCCTCTGCCTCTGCCTCTGCCTCTGCCTCTGTCTCTGTCTCTGCCTCTGCCTCTGCCTCTGCCTCTGTCTCTGTCTCTGTCTCTGCCTCTGCCTCTGCCTCTGCCTCTGTCTCTGTCTCTGCCTCTGCCTCTGCCTCTGTCTCTGTCTCTGCCTCTGCCTCTGCCTCTGCCTCTGCCTCTGCCTCTGCCTCTGCCTCTGCCTCTGCCTCTGTCTCTGCCTCTGCCTCTGCCTCTGCCTCTGCCTCTGCCTCTGCCTCTGTCTCTGCCTCTGCCTCTGCCTCTGCCTCTGCCTCTGCCTCTGCCTCTGCCTCTGCCTCTGCCTCTGCCTCTGCCTCTGTCTCTGCTCTGCCTCTGCCTCTGCCTCTGCCTCTGCCTCTGCCTCTGCCTCTGCCTCTGCCTCTGCCTCTGCCTCTGCCTCTGCCTCTGCTCTCTGTCTCTGCCTCTGCCTCTGCCTCTGCCTCTGCCTCTGCCTCTGCCTCTGCCTCTGCCTCTGCCTCTGCTCTGCCTCTGCCTCTGCCTCTGCCTCTGCCTCTGTCTCTGTCTCTGTCTCTGCCTCTGCCTCTGCCTCTGCCTCTGCCTCTGCCTCTGCCTCTGCCTCTGCCTCTGCCTCTGCCTCTGCCTCTGTCTCTGTCTCTGTCTCTGTCTCTGCCTCTGCCTCTGCCTCTGCCTCTGCCTCTGCCTCTGCCTCTGCCTCTGTCTCTGTCTCTGCCTCTGCCTCTGCCTCTGCCTCTGCCTCTGCCTCTGCCTCTGCCTCTGCCTCTGCCTCTGCCTCTGTCTCTGTCTCTGTCTCTGTCTCTGCCTCTGCCTCTGCCTCTGTCTCTGCCTCTGCCTCTGCCTCTGTCTCTGCCTCTGCCTCTGCCTCTGCCTCTGCCTCTGCCTCTGTCTCTGCCTCTGCCTCTGCCTCTGTCTCTGCCTCTGCCTCTGCCTCTGTCTCTGCCTCTGCCTCTGCCTCTGCCTCTGTCTCTGCCTCTGCCTCTGTCTCTGCCTCTGTCAGGTTCTCCGTAAGTTCTCTGTAGGTTCTCTGTAGGTTCTCTGTAGGTTCTCTGTAGGTTCTCTGTAGGTTCTCTGTAGGTTCTCTGTAGGTTCTCTGTAGGTTCTCCGTATGTTCTCTGTCAGGTTCTCCGTAGGTTACATTGAGTTCTATGGGACTTTTTTCTGGGTAACCCTCGTGAATTCAGTCTGCAGTACCACAGCGCCCCCTGTGCCCATGGGTGGGACAGCTGTAAGTTATTATAGATCCTGGTGTGTGTGTACTTAATGAACTCTTCCATAACTTGTCCTCAGCTCCAGGTCTGAAGCCGTGTGTGAGAGAGTGACTGATATGATTGTCAGTCACAGGAGCTCAGCAGCTGCCATGGCCTGTTATACCTCATTTTACTACTGATGAACTACTCTATGCACTTTGTATCAGGTGTCGTCAGGTGTCTCTCTGCCTCTCCTCTCTGATTGGTCGTGAGCTTCTTCCTGGTCGTACAGTCTCTCCTCTCTGATTGGTCGTGAGCTTCTTCCTGGTCGTACAGTCTCTCCTCTCTGATTGGTCGTGAGCTTCTTCCTGGTCGTACAGTCTCTCCTCTCTGATTGGTCGTGAGCTTCTTCCTTGTCGTACAGTCTCTCCTCTCTGATTGGTCGAGAGCCTCCTCCTGGCTGTACAGTCAGTCCTCTCTGATTGGTCGAGAGCCTCCTCCTGGCTGTACAGTCAGTCCTCTCTGATTGGTCGAGAGCCTCTTCCTGGTCGTACCGTCTCCTCTCGCTCCAAAGTGCTTCCTCTCAGTGTTATTAATCCCCAGAGCACACGCTGCGCTGTGATAGGTTAATCCGTCTGAGTGGCACTGTCAGAGATCTGCGCTCTGATTGGATAATCCAGGCGGCGCTGGGGGCGTGAGGAGGCGTGATCATCTGTGGACCATCTGCCACGGGCTCAGCAAAGGACAGGGAGGGGGAGAGAGAGGGGGGGGGAGCTGAGGCTGAGGGGGGGAGAGAGCTGAGGCTGAGGGGAGAGTGGGGGAGAGAGAGAGCTGGGGGAGAGCTGAGGCTGAGGGGGGGGGGAGAGCTGAGGGTGAGGGGGGAGAGAGAGGGGAGGGGGGAGAGAGAGAGAGCTGAGGCTGAGGGGAGAGTGGGGGAGAGAGAGAGCTGGGGGAGAGCTGAGGCTGAGGGGGGGGAGAGCTGAGGCTGAGGGGGGAGAGAGAGGGGAGGGGGGAGAGAGAGAGAGCTGAGGCTGAGGGGAGAGTGGGGGAGAGAGAGAGCTGGGGGAGAGCTGAGGCTGAGGGGGGGAGAGGGGGAGAGCTGAGGCTGAGGGGGGAGAGAAGGGGAGAGAGAGCTGAGGCTGAGGGGGGAGAGCTTCAATGACAGAGGAGGAGGAGGCCCAGGGGGAGGGTCAGAGATCAGCTGTGTTCAGGTCGTGCTGCTTTGTCAATGTTTACTCACTGCACTCAAACCTGTTCTCCTCACGCTACAGGAGGAGGAGAGAGGAGGAGCACACAGGAGGAGGAGAGAGGAGGGGCACACAGGAGGAGGAGAGAGGAGGAGCACACAGGAGGAGGAGAGAGGAGGAGCACACAGGAGGAGGAGAGAGGAGGAGCACACAGGAGGAGGAGAGAGGAGGAGCACACAGGAGGAGGAGAGAGGAGGGGCACACAGGAGGAGGAGAGAGGAGGAGCACACAGGAGGAGGAGAGAGGAGGGGCACACAGGAGGAGCACACAGGAGGAGGAGAGAGGAGGGGCACACAGGAGGAGCACACAGGAGGGGCACACAGGAGGAGCACACAGGAGGAGCACACAGGAGGAGGAGAGAGGAGGGGCACACAGGAGGAGCACACAGGAGGAGGACACAGGAGGAGCACACAGGAGGAGCACAAAGGGGGAGCACACAGGAGGAGCACACAGGAGGAGGACACAGGAGGAGCACACAGGAGGAGCACACAGGAGGAGCACACAGGAGGAGCACACAGGAGGGGCACACAGGAGGGGCACACAGGAGGAGCACACAGGAGGAGGACACAGGAGGAGGACACAGGAGGAGGACACAGGAGGAGGACACAGGAGGAGGACAGGGAGAGAGGGGGAAGCACACAGGAGGGGCACACAGGAGGAGCACACAGGAGGAGCACACAGGAGGAGGAGAGAGGAGGGGCACACAGGAGGAGCACACAGGAGGAGGAGAGAGGAGGGGCACACAGGAGGAGCACACAGGAGGAGGAGAGAGGAGGGGCACACAGGAGGAGCACACAGGAGGAGGAGAGAGGAGGGGCACACAGGAGGGGCACACAGGAGGAGCACACAGGAGGAGCACACAGGAGGGGCACACAGGAGGAGCACACAGGAGGAGGACACAGGAGGAGCACACAGGAGGAGCACACAGGAGGAGCACACAGGAGGGGCACACAGGAGGAGCACACAGGAGGAGCACACAGGAGGAGCACACAGGAGGAGGAGAGAGGAGGGGCACACAGGAGGAGCACACAGGAGGAGGACACAGGAGGAGCACACAGGAGGAGCACACAGGGGGAGCACACAGGAGGAGCACACAGGAGGAGCACACAGGAGGAGGACACAGGAGTAGCACACAGGAGGAGCACACAGGAGGAGCACACAGGAGGGGCACACAGGAGGAGCACACAGGAGGAGCACACAGGAGGAGCACACAGGAGGAGGACACAGGAGGAGGACACAGGAGGAGGACAGGGAGAGAGGAGGAGCACACAGGAGGGGCACACAGGAGGAGGACACAGGAGGAGCACACAGGAGGAGGACACAGGAGGAGGACACAGGAGGAGGACACAGGAGGAGGAGACAGGAGGAGGACAGGGAGAGAGGAGGAGCACACAGGAGGGGCACACAGGAGGAGCACACAGGAGGAGCACACAGGAGGAGGAGAGAGGAGGGGCACACAGGAGGAGCACACAGGAGGAGCACACAGGAGGAGCACACAGGAGGAGGACACAGGAGGAGGAGAGAGGAGCACACAGGAGGAGCACACAGGAGGGGCACACAGGAGGAGCACACAGGAGGAGCACACAGGAGGAGCACACAGGAGGAGGACACAGGAGGAGCACACAGGAGGAGGACACAGGAGGAGGACACAGGAGGAGCACACAGGAGGAGAGAGGAGGAGCACACAGGAGGAGCACACAGGAGGAGCACACAGGAGGAGCACACATGAGGAGGACACAGGAGGAGGGCACAGGAGGAGCACACAGGAGGGGCACACAGGAGGAGCACACAGGAGGAGCACACAGGAGGAGGACACAGGAGGAGCACACAGGAGGAGGACACAGGAGGAGCACACAGGAGGAGCACACAGGAGGAGCACACAGGAGGAGGACACAGGAGGAGCACACAGGAGGAGCACACAGGAGGAGCACACAGGAGGAGCACACAGGAGGAGCACACAGGAGGAGGACAGGGAGAGAGGAGGAAGTGGAAAGATGACAGATTTACAGACCATTCATTAAAACTCAGTTCATCGTAAACTCTGTGCACAGAGGACAAGGCTGTGAAGCCTGAAGGACTGTGTGTGTGTGTTTGTGTGTCTCATGTGTGTGTTGTTGTGTTACAGGAGAGTGTGTACTTGCAGTGCAGTCATGGAGCCCCACAGACAGAGGGCGCTGTCCACGTCGGGAGAATCTCTGTACGTAGTGTTAGGAGTGGAGAAGAGCGCCACGCCTGAGGACATCAAGAAGTGCTACAGGTGTGTGTTTGTGTGTCTGTGTGTGTCTGTGTGTGTGTGTGTGTGTCTGTGTGTGTGTGTTTGTCTGTCTGTGTGTGTGTGTGTCTGTGTGTGTGTTTGTGTGTGTGTTTGTCTGTGTCTGTTTGTCTTCGTCTGTGTGTGGAGCTGAAGTTGGCTGGGTCTCTGAGGAGCACAGGGACTGGCCTCCTGCTGGGACTCTGAGGAGCACAGGGACTGGCCTCCTGCAGGGACTTTGAGGAGCACAGGGACTGGCCTCCTGCTGGGACTCTGAGGAGCACAGGGACTGGCCTCCTGCTGGGACTCTGAGGAGCACAGGGACTGGCCTCCTGCTGGGACTCTGAGGAGCACAGGGACTGGCCTCCTGCAGGGACTCTGAGGAGCACAGGGACTGGCCTCCTGCTGGGACTCTGAGGAGCACAGGGACTGGCCTCCTGCAGGGACTCTGAGGAGCACAGGGACTGGCCTCCTGCTGGGACTCTGAGGAGCACAGGGACTGGCCTCCTGCAGGGACTCTGAGGAGCACAGGGACTGGCCTCCTGCTGGGACTCTGAGGAGCACAGGGACTGGCCTCCTGCTGGGACTCTGAGGAGCACAGGGACTGGCCTCCTGCTGGGACTCTGAGGAGCACAGGGACTGGCCTCCTGCTGGGACTCTATTAATGCGTCAATGGGACACAATGAGTTCATCATTAATCACGGTTCATTAAAACGACTGAAGATAAAGTCCTTCATATGGAGCCTACAGAAAGTCAACATTACCAGTTTTCAACTGTGCATGTGCAGTTGAAAACTGGTATGTGTTGTCTGGAACGGTCTCTGGTCATCCCTGTTATAGATCCATGACCATGGGTCATCCCTGTTATAGATCCATGACCATGGGTCATCCCTGTTAAAGATCCATGACCATGGGTCATCCCAGTTATAGACCCATGACCATGGGTCATCCCTGTTAAAGATCCATGACCATGGGTCATCCCTGTTATAGATCCATGACCATGGGTCATCCCTGTTATAGATCCATGACCATGGGTCATCCCTGTTAAAGATCCATGACCATGGGTCATCCCAGTTATAGACCCATGACCATGGGTCATCCCTGTTAAAGATCCATGACCATGGGTCATCCCTGTTAAAGATCCATGACCATGGGTCATCCCAGTTATAGACCCATGACCATGGGTCATCCCAGTTATAGATCCATGACCATGGGTCATCCCAGTTATAGATCCATGACCATGGGTCATCCCTGTTATAGACCCATGACCATGGGTCATCCCTGTTAAAGATCCATGACCATGGGTCATCCCTGTTATAGACCCATGACCATGGGTCATCCCTGTTATAGACCCATGACCATGGGTCATCCCTGTTATAGACCCATGACCATGGGTCATCCCTGTTATAGACCCATGACCGTATAGAGAGTACACTCTCTGTACTCAACACGTAGAAAGCTCATCCTTTCAGCCGTGGACAGACTCGCTCCGTGTGGACCCCTCTCAGCGCCATCGTCTGGTCAGAGTGGGGTACTGCAGATTGGATTGGAATGTCTCGATGGCTCATTTTCCTTTGATTTATTATAAAAACATATTGCTCACATTATTTGTTACTATGTCGAAATAAGAAGTAGTTTGATTTAAATGTTGTATAAATGTAAATTGAATTTAACATAAATAAAAAGACAGCTCCTCCTGCGTCCTACGACCGCGGTCTGGGGCTTAAACAGGAACGTTTTACAGAATCAATCAAACATTATTTCTGTCTTCTTCATGGAGGCAGTGGTCACTGTCGGCAATATCTTCAGACAACAACACACACACACTATACACACACACACACACACACACACACACACATACACACTATACACACATACACACATACACATACACACACACTGCACACACACACATACACACTATACACACAACTGCACATACACATACACACTATACACACAACTGCACATACACATACACACTATACACACAACTGCACATACACACATACACACTGCACACATACACACAACAGCACATACACATACACACTATACACACAACTGCACATACACATACACACTATACACACAACTGCACATACACACATACACACTGCACACATACACACAACAGCACACACACATACACACTATACACACAACTGCACATACACACATACACACTATACACACAACTGCACATACACACTATACATACAACTGCACATACACATACACACTATACACACAACTGCACATACACATACACACTATACACACAACTGCACATACACACATACACACTGCACACATACACACACACTGCACATACACACACTGCACATACACACACACACTGCACATACACACTGCACACATACACACATACACTGCACACATGCACATACACACATACACACACACACATACACACTGCACACACACACGTACACACACGCATACACACTGCACACACACACACACACTGCACACATACACACATACACTGCACACATGCACACACACACATACACACACACACATACACACTGCACATACACACTGCACACACAAACATACACACTGCACATACACACACACACACACACACACACACTGCACACACACACATACACACACACACACATACACACTGCACACACACATACACACACTGCACATGCGCAGATGAAAACTCAGAATTTTGACTTTCTCTTCCACAGTTTCAGTCGTTGCAGAAACTGTTTTAACCTGGTTTGAACATTGTCAGAGAAGAAGAGTCTGTCTCACATTTTCAGGAAAACTGTTCCAGAATTTAGTATAAATCTGGAGTGTACAGACCAGGACCTCACAGTGGACGAGGAGGACCGTGAGGAGGACCATGACGAGGAGGACCGTGAGGAGGACCATAACGAGGAGGACCGTGAGGAGGACCATAACGAGGAGGACCGTGAGGAGGACCATAACGAGGAGGACCGTGAGGAGGACCATAACGAGGAGGACCGTGAGGAGGACCATAACGAGGAGGACCGTGAGGAGGACCATAACGAGGAGGACCGTGAGGAGGACCATAACGAGGAGGATCGTGAGGAGGACCATAACGAGGAGGATCGTGAGGAGGACCATAACGAGGAGGATCGTGAGGAGGACCATAACGAGGAGGACCGTGAGGAGAACCATAACGAGGAGGACCGTGAGGAGGACCATAACGAGAAGGACCGTGAGGAGAACCATAACGAGGAGGACCGTGAGGAGGACCATAACGAGGAGGATCGTGAGGAGGACCATAACGAGGAGGACCGTGAGGAGGACCATAACGAGGAGGATCGTGAGGAGGACCATAACGAGAAGGACCGTGAGGAGAACCATAACGAGGAGGACCGTGAGGAGGACCATAACGAGAAGGACCGTGAGGAGAACCATAACGAGGAGGACCGTGAGGAGGACCATAACGAGGAGGGCCGTGAGGAGGACCGTGAGGAGGACCGTAACGAGGAGGACCGTGACGAGGAGGACCATAACGAGGAGGACCGTGACGAGGAGGACCGTGACGAGGAAGACCATAACGAGGAAGATCGTGACGAGGAGGACCGTGACGAGGACCTGTGGACTCTCCTCCAGTGGACTCTCCTCCTGTGGACTCTCCTCCTGTGGACTCTCCTCCTGTGGACTCTCCTCCTGTGGACTCTCCTCCTGTGGACTCTCCTCCTCTCCTCCTGTGGACTCTCCTCCTCTCCTCCAGTGGACTCTCCTCCAGTGGACTCTCCTCCAGTGGACTCTCCTCCTGTGGACTCTCCTCCTGTGGACTCTCCTCCTGTGGACTCTCCTCCAGTGGACTCTCCTCCAGTGGACTCTCCTCCTGGAGTGGACTCTCCTCCTCTCCTCCAGTGGACTCTCCTCCAGTGGACTCTCCTCCTCTCCTCCAGTGGACTCTCCTCCAGTGGACTCTCCTCCTCTCTCCTCCAGTGGACTCTCCTCCTGTGGACTCTCCTCCAGTGGACTCTCCTCCAGTGGACTCTCCTCCTGTGGACTCTCCTCCTGTGGACTCTCCTCCTCTCCTCCAGTGGACTCTCCTCCTGTGGACTCTCCTCCTGTGGACTCTCCTCCTCTCCTCCTGTGGACTCTCCTCCTCTCCTCCAGTGGACTCTCCTCCTGTGGACTCTCCTCCAGTGGACTCTCCTCCAGTGGACTCTCCTCCTGTGGACTCTCCTCCAGTGGACTCTCCTCCTGTGGACTCTCCTCCTGTGGACTCTCCTCCTCTCCTCCAGTGGACTCTCCTCCTCTCCTCCAGTGGACTCTCCTCCTGTGGACTCTCCTCCTCTCCTCCTGTGGACTCTCCTCCAGTGGACTCTCCTCCAGTGGACTCTCCTCCTGTGGACTCTCCTCCTGTGGACTCTCCTCCTCTCCTCCTGTGGACTCTCCTCCTCTCCTCCAGTGGACTCTCCTCCAGTGGACTCTCCTCCAGTGGACTCTCCTCCTGTGGACTCTCCTCCTGTGGACTCTCTCCTCCTGTGGACTCTCCTCCTCTCCTCCTGTGGACTCTCCTCCTCTCCTCCTGTGGACTCTCCTCCAGTGGACTCTCCTCCAGTGGACTCTCCTCCTGTGGACTCTCCTCCTGTGGACTCTCCTCCTGTGGACTCTCCTCCAGTGGACTCTCCTCCTGTGGACTCTCCTCCTGTGGACTCTCCTCCTCTCCTCCTGTGGACTCTCCTCCTCTCCTCCTGTGGACTCTCCTCCAGTGGACTCTCCTCCAGTGGACTCTCCTCCTCTCCTCCAGTGGACGCTCCTCCAGTGGACTCTCCTCCTGTGGACTCTCCTCCTGTGGACTCTCCTCCAGTGGACTCTCCTCCTGTGGACTCTCCTCCTGTGGACTCTCCTCCTCTCCTCCAGTGGACTCTCCTCCTGTGGACTCTCCTCCTGTGGACTCTCCTCCTGTGGACGCTCCTCCAGTGGACTCTCCTCCTGTGGACTCTCCTCCAGTGGACTCTCCTCCAGTGGACTCTCCTCCTGTGGACTCTCCTCCAGTGGACTCTCCTCCTCTCCTCCAGTGGACTCTCCTCCTGTGGACTCTCCTCCAGTGGACTCTCCTCCTGTGGACTCTCCTCCTGTGGACGCTCCTCCAGTGGACTCTCCTCCTGTGGACTCTCCTCCAGTGGACTCTCCTCCTCTCCTCCAGTGGACTCTCCTCCTGTGGACTCTCCTCCAGTGGACTCTCCTCCTGTGGACTCTCCTCCTGTGGACTCTCTCCTCCCTCCTCCTGTGGACGCTCCTCCAGTGGACTCTCCTCCAGTGGACTCTCCTCCTCTCCTCCTGTGGACTCTCCTCCTGTGGACTCTCCTCCTGTGGACTCTCCTCCTGTGGACTCTCCTCCTGTGGACGCTCCTCCAGTGGACTCTCCTCCAGTGGACTCTCCTCCTCTCCTCCAGTGGACTCTCCTCCTGTGGACTCTCCTCCTGTGGACTCTCCTCCTCTCCTCCTGTGGACTCTCCTCCTCTCCTCCAGTGGACTCTCCTCCTGTGGACTCTCCTCCTCTCCTCCTGTGGACTCTCCTCCAGTGGACTCTCCTCCTGTGGACTCTCCTCCTGTGGACTCTCCTCCTGTGGACGCTCCTCCTGTGGACGCTCCTCCAGTGGACTCTCCTCCTCTCCTCCAGTGGACTCTTCTCCTGTGGACTCTCCTCCTGTGGACGCTCCTCCAGTGGACTCTCCTCCTCTCCTCCAGTGGACTCTTCTCCTGTGGACGCTCCTCCAGTGGACTCTCCTCCTGTGGACTCTCCTCCTGTGGACTCTCCTCCTGTGGACTCTCCTCCTGTGGACTCTCCTCCAGTGGACTCTCCTCCAGTGGACTCTCCTCCAGTGGACTCTCCTCCAGTGGACTCTCCTCCTCTCCTCCAGTGGACTCTCCTCCTCTCCTCCAGTGGACTCTCCTCCTGTGGACTCTCCTCCTGTGGACTCTCCTCCAGTGGACTCTCCTCCTCTCCTCCAGTGGACTCTCCTCCTCTCCTCCAGTGGACTCTCCTCCTGTGGACTCTCCTCCAGTGGACTCTCCTCCTCTCCTCCAGTGGACTCTCCTCCTGTGGACTCTCCTCCAGTGGACTCTCCTCCTCTCCTCCAGTGGACTCTCCTCCTGTGGACTCTCCTCCAGTGGACTCTCCTCCTCTCCTCCAGTGGACTCTCCTCCTGTGGACTCTCCTCCAGTGGACTCTCCTCCAGTGGACTCTCCTCCAGTGGACTCTCCTCCTCTCCTCCAGTGGACTCTCCTCCTGTGGACTCTCCTCCTGTGGACTCTCCTCCTCTCCTCCAGTGGACTCTCCTCCAGTGGACTCTCCTCCTCTCCTCCAGTGGACTCTCCTCCTCTCCTCCAGTGGACTCTCCTCCTGTGGACTCTCCTCCTGTGGACTCTCCTCCTGTGGACTCTCCTCCTGTGGACTCTCCTCCTGTGGACTCTCCTCCTCTCCTCCAGTGGACTCTCCTCCTCTCCTCCAGTGGACTCTCCTCCTGTGGACTCTCCTCCTGTGGACTCTCCTCCTGTGGACGCTCCTCCAGTGGACTCTCCTCCAGTGGACTCTCCTCCTCTCCTCCAGTGGACTCTCCTCCTGTGGACTCTCCTCCAGTGGACTCTCCTCCAGTGGACTCTCCTCCTGTGGACTCTCCTCCTGTGGACTCTCCTCCTGTGGACTCTCCTCCTGTGGACTCTCCTCCTGTGGACTCTCCTCCTGTGGACTCTCCTCCAGTGGACTCTCCTCCTGTGGACGCTCCTCCAGTGGACTCTCCTCCAGTGGACTCTCCTCCTGTGGACGCTCCTCCAGTGGACTCTCCTCCTCTCCTCCAGTGGACTCTCCTCCTGTGGACTCTCCTCCAGTGGACTCTCCTCCTGTGGACTCTCCTCCTGTGGACTCTCCTCCTCTCCTCCTGTGGACTCTCCTCCAGTGGACTCTCCTCCTGTGGACTCTCCTCCTGTGGACTCTCCTCCTGTGGACTCTCCTCCTGTGGACTCTCCTCCTGTGGACTCTCCTCCTCTCCTCCTGTGGACTCTCCTCCTGTGGACTCTCCTCCAGTGGACTCTCCTCCTGTGGACTCTCCTCCAGTGGACTCTCCTCCTCTCCTCCAGTGGACTCTCCTCCAGTGGACTCTCCTCCAGTGGACTCTCCTCCTCTCCTCCAGTGGACTCTCCTCCTGTGGACTCTCCTCCTGTGGACTCTCCTCCAGTGGACTCTCCTCCTGTGGACTCTCCTCCTGTGGACTCTCCTCCTCTCCTCCTGTGGACTCTCCTCCAGTGGACTCTCCTCCAGTGGACTCTCCTCCTGTGGACTCTCCTCCTGTGGACTCTCCTCCAGTGGACTCTCCTCCTGTGGACTCTCCTCCAGTGGACTCTCCTCCTGTGGACTCTCTCCTACTCTCCTCCTGTGGACTCTCCTCCTGTGGACTCTCTCCTCTGTGGACTCTCCTCCCTCCTCCTGTGGACTCTCCTCCTGTGGACTCTCCTCCTGTGGACTCTCCTCTCCCTCCTGTGGACTCTCCTCCTGTGGACTCTCCTCCTGTGGACTCTCCTCCTGTGGACTCTCCTCCTGTGGACTCTCCTCCTGTGGACTCTCCTCCTGTGGACTCTCCTCCTGTGGTCTCTCCTCCTGTGGACTCTCCTCCTGTGGACTCTCCTCCTGTGGTCTCTCCTCCTGTGGACTCTCCTCCTGTGGACTCTCCTCCTGTGGACTCTCCTCCTGTGGACTCTCCTCCTGTGGACTCTCCTCCAGTGGACTCTCCTCCTGTGGACTCTCCTCCTGTGGTCTCTCCTCCTGTGGTCTCTCCTCCTGTGGACTCTCCTCCTGTGGACTCTCCTCCTGTGGACCTCCGTGGCTCTCCTCCTCTCTCCTCCTGTGGACTCTCCTCCTGTGGACTCTCCTCCGTGGATCTCCTCCTCTCCTCCTGTGGACTCTCCTCCTGTGGACTCTCCTCCAGTGGACTCTCCTCCTCTCCTCCTGTGGACTCTCCTCCTGTGGACTCTCCTCCTGTGGACTCTCCTCCTGTGGACTCTCCTCCTGTGGACTCTCCTCCTGTGGACTCTCCTCCAGTGGACTCTCCTCCCTCTCCTCCGTGGACTCTCCTCCCTCTCCTCCAGTGGACTCTCCTCCTCTCCTCCTGTGGACTCTCCTCCAGTGGACTCTCCTCCAGTGGACTCTCCTCCTCTCCTCCTGTGGACTCTCCTCCTGTGGACTCTCCTCCTGTGGACTCCCTCCTCTCCTCCTGTGGACTCTCCTCCTGTGGACTCTCCTCCTGTGGACTCTCCTCCTGTGGACTCTCCTCCTCTCCTCCTGTGGACTCTCCTCCTGTGGACTCTCCTCCAGTGGACTCTCCTCCTGTGGACTCTCCTCCTGTGGACTCTCCTCCGTGGACTCTCCTCCAGTGGACTCTCCTCCTGTGGACTCTCCTCCGTGGACTCCTCTCCTCCTGTGGACTCTCCTCCTGTGGACTCTCCTCCAGTGGACTCTCCTCCTGTGGACTCTCCTCCTGTGGACTCTCCTCCTGTGGACTCTCCTCCTGTGGACTCTCCTCCTGTGGACTCTCCTCCTGTGGACTCTCCTCCTGTGGACTCTCCTCCTGTGGACTCTCCTCCTCTCCTCCTGTGGACCTCCTCCTGTGGACTCTCCTCCTGTGGACTCTCCTCCTGTGGACTCTCCTCCTCTCCTCCAGTGGACTCTCCTCCTGTGGACTCTCCTCCTGTGGACTCTCCTCCAGTGGACTCTCCTCCTGTGGACTCTCCTCCTGTGGACTCTCTCCTCCTGTGGACCTCCTCCAGTGGACTCTCCTCCAGTGGACTCTCCTCCCCTCTCCTCCTGTGGACTCTCCTCCTGTGGACTCTCCTCCTGTGGACTCTCCTCCTGTGGACTCTCCTCCTGTGGACGCTCCTCCAGTGGACTCTCCTCCTGTGGACTCTCCTCCAGTGGACTCTCCTCCTCTCCTCCAGTGGACTCTCCTCCTGTGGACTCTCCTCCAGTGGACTCTCCTCCTGTGGACTCTCCTCCTGTGGACTCTCCTCCAGTGGACTCTCCTCCTCTCCTCCAGTGGACTCTCCTCCTGTGGACTCTCCTCCTGTGGACTCTCCTCCTCTCCTCCTGTGGACGCTCCTCCAGTGGACTCTCCTCCAGTGGACTCTCCTCCTCTCCTCCAGTGGACTCTCCTCCTGTGGACTCTCCTCCTGTGGACTCTCCTCCTGTGGACTCTCCTCCTGTGGACGCTCCTCCAGTGGACTCTCCTCCAGTGGACTCTCCTCCTCTCCTCCAGTGGACTCTCCTCCTCTCCTCCAGTGGACTCTCCTCCTCTCCTCCTGTGGACGCTCCTCCAGTGGACTCTCCTCCAGTGGACTCTCCTCCTCTCCTCCAGTGGACTCTCCTCCTGTGGACTCTCCTCCTGTGGACTCTCCTCCTCTCCTCCTGTGGACTCTCCTCCTCTCCTCCAGTGGACTCTCCTCCTGTGGACTCTCCTCCTCTCCTCCTGTGGACTCTCCTCCAGTGGACTCTCCTCCTGTGGACTCTCCTCCTGTGGACTCTCCTCCTGTGGACGCTCCTCCTGTGGACGCTCCTCCAGTGGACTCTCCTCCTCTCCTCCAGTGGACTCTTCTCCTGTGGACTCTCCTCCTGTGGACGCTCCTCCAGTGGACTCTCCTCCTCTCCTCCAGTGGACTCTTCTCCTGTGGACGCTCCTCCAGTGGACTCTCCTCCTGTGGACTCTCCTCCTGTGGACTCTCCTCCTGTGGACTCTCCTCCTGTGGACTCTCCTCCAGTGGACTCTCCTCCAGTGGACTCTCCTCCTGTGGACTCTCCTCCAGTGGACTCTCCTCCAGTGGACTCTCCTCCTCTCCTCCAGTGGACTCTCCTCCTCTCCTCCAGTGGACTCTCCTCCTGTGGACTCTCCTCCTGTGGACTCTCCTCCTGTGGACGCTCCTCCAGTGGACTCTCCTCCTCTCCTCCAGTGGACTCTTCTCCTGTGGACGCTCCTCCAGTGGACTCTCCTCCTGTGGACTCTCCTCCTGTGGACTCTCCTCCTGTGGACTCTCCTCCTGTGGACTCTCCTCCAGTGGACTCTCCTCCAGTGGACTCTCCTCCTGTGGACTCTCCTCCAGTGGACTCTCCTCCAGTGGACTCTCCTCCTCTCCTCCAGTGGACTCTCCTCCTCTCCTCCAGTGGACTCTCCTCCTGTGGACTCTCCTCCTGTGGACTCTCCTCCAGTGGACTCTCCTCCTCTCCTCCAGTGGACTCTCCTCCTCTCCTCCAGTGGACTCTCCTCCTGTGGACTCTCCTCCAGTGGACTCTCCTCCTGTGGACTCTCCTCCTGTGGACTCTCCTCCTCTCCTCCAGTGGACTCTCCTCCAGTGGACTCTCCTCCTGTGGACTCTCCTCCAGTGGACTCTCCTCCTCTCCTCCAGTGGACTCTCCTCCTGTGGACTCTCCTCCAGTGGACTCTCCTCCTCTCCTCCAGTGGACTCTCCTCCTGTGGACTCTCCTCCTGTGGACTCTCCTCCTGTGGACTCTCCTCCTGTGGACTCTCCTCCTGTGGACTCTCCTCCAGTGGACTCTCCTCCAGTGGACTCTCCTCCTCTCCTCCAGTGGACTCTCCTCCAGTGGACTCTCCTCCTCTCCTCCTGTGGACTCTCCTCCAGTGGACTCTCCTCCAGTGGACTCTCCTCCTGTGGACTCTCCTCCAGTGGACTCTCCTCCTGTGGACTCTCCTCCAGTGGACTCTCCTCCAGTGGACTCTCCTCCAGTGGACTCTCCTCCTGTGGACTCTCCTCCTGTGGACTCTCCTCCTGTGGACTCTCCTCCTGTGGACTCTCCTCCTGTGGACTCTCCTCCTCTCCTCCAGTGGACTCTCCTCCTGTGGACTCTCCTCCAGTGGACTCTCCTCCAGTGGACTCTCCTCCTGTGGACTCTCCTCCTGTGGACTCTCCTCCAGTGGACTCTCCTCCTGTGGACTCTCCTCCTGTGGACTCTCCTCCAGTGGACTCTCCTCCTGTGGACTCTCCTCCTGTGGACTCTCCTCCTCTCCTCCTGTGGACTCTCCTCCTCTCCTCCAGTGGACTCTCCTCCAGTGGACTCTCCTCCTGTGGACTCTCCTCCTGTGGACTCTCCTCCTCTCCTCCTGTGGACTCTCCTCCTCTCCTCCTGTGGACTCTCCTCCTGTGGACTCTCCTCCTGTGGACTCTCCTCCAGTGGACTCTCCTCCTGTGGACTCTCCTCCTGTGGACTCTCCTCCTCTCCTCCTGTGGACTCTCCTCCTCTCCTCCTGTGGACTCTCCTCCAGTGGACTCTCCTCCTGTGGACTCTCCTCCTGTGGACTCTCCTCCTGTGGACGCTCCTCCAGTGGACTCTCCTCCTGTGGACGCTCCTCCAGTGGACTCTCCTCCTGTGGACTCTCCTCCAGTGGACTCTCCTCCTCTCCTCCAGTGGACTCTCCTCCTGTGGACTCTCCTCCAGTGGACTCTCCTCCTGTGGACTCTCCTCCTGTGGACTCTCCTCCTCTCCTCCTGTGGACGCTCCTCCAGTGGACTCTCCTCCAGTGGACTCTCCTCCTCTCCTCCTGTGGACTCTCCTCCTGTGGACTCTCCTCCTGTGGACTCTCCTCCTGTGGACTCTCCTCCTGTGGACTCTCCTCCTGTGGACGCTCCTCCAGTGGACTCTCCTCCAGTGGACTCTCCTCCTCTCCTCCAGTGGACTCTCCTCCTGTGGACTCTCCTCCTGTGGACTCTCCTCCTCTCCTCCTGTGGACTCTCCTCCTCTCCTCCAGTGGACTCTCCTCCTGTGGACTCTCCTCCTCTCCTCCTGTGGACTCTCCTCCAGTGGACTCTCCTCCTGTGGACTCTCCTCCTGTGGACTCTCCTCCTGTGGACGCTCCTCCTGTGGACGCTCCTCCAGTGGACTCTCCTCCTCTCCTCCTGTGGACTCTCCTCCTCTCCTCCTGTGGACTCTCCTCCTGTGGACTCTCCTCCTGTGGACGCTCCTCCAGTGGACTCTCCTCCTCTCCTCCAGTGGACTCTCCTCCTCTCCTCCAGTGGACTCTTCTCCTGTGGACTCTTCTCCTGTGGACGCTCCTCCAGTGGACTCTCCTCCAGTGGACTCTCCTCCTGTGGACTCTCCTCCTGTGGACTCTCCTCCAGTGGACTCTCCTCCAGTGGACTCTCCTCCAGTGGACTCTCCTCCTCTCCTCCAGTGGACTCTCCTCCAGTGGACTCTCCTCCAGTGGACTCTCCTCCAGTGGACTCTCCTCCTCTCCTCCAGTGGACTCTCCTCCTCTCCTCCAGTGGACTCTCCTCCTGTGGACTCTCCTCCAGTGGACTCTCCTCCTGTGGACTCTCCTCCTGTGGACTCTCCTCCAGTGGACTCTCCTCCTCTCCTCCAGTGGACTCTCCTCCTCTCCTCCAGTGGACTCTCCTCCTGTGGACTCTCCTCCAGTGGACTCTCCTCCTCTCCTCCAGTGGACTCTCCTCCTGTGGACTCTCCTCCTGTGGACTCTCCTCCTCTCCTCCAGTGGACTCTCCTCCAGTGGACTCTCCTCCTGTGGACTCTCCTCCAGTGGACTCTCCTCCTCTCCTCCAGTGGACTCTCCTCCTGTGGACTCTCCTCCTGTGGACTCTCCTCCTGTGGACTCTCCTCCTGTGGACTCTCCTCCTGTGGACTCTCCTCCTGTGGACTCTCCTCCAGTGGACTCTCCTCCTGTGGACTCTCCTCCTGTGGACTCTCCTCCAGTGGACTCTCCTCCTCTCCTCCAGTGGACTCTCCTCCAGTGGACTCTCCTCCTCTCCTCCAGTGGACTCTCCTCCTCTCCTCCAGTGGACTCTCCTCCTGTGGACTCTCCTCCTGTGGACTCTCCTCCTGTGGACTCTCCTCCTGTGGACTCTCCTCCTGTGGACTCTCCTCCTCTCCTCCAGTGGACTCTCCTCCTCTCCTCCAGTGGACTCTCCTCCTGTGGACTCTCCTCCTGTGGACTCTCCTCCTGTGGACTCTCCTCCTGTGGACTCTCCTCCAGTGGACTCTCCTCCTGTGGACTCTCCTCCAGTGGACTCTCCTCCTGTGGACTCTCCTCCTGTGGACTCTCCTCCTGTGGACTCTCCTCCTCTCCTCCTGTGGACTCTCCTCCTGTGGACTCTCCTCCAGTGGACTCTCCTCCAGTGGACTCTCCTCCAGTGGACTCTCCTCCTGTGGACTCTCCTCCTCTCCTCCAGTGGACTCTCCTCCTGTGGACTCTCCTCCTGTGGACTCTCCTCCTGTGGACGCTCCTCCAGTGGACTCTCCTCCTGTGGACTCTCCTCCAGTGGACTCTCCTCCTCTCCTCCAGTGGACTCTCCTCCTGTGGACTCTCCTCCTGTGGACTCTCCTCCTCTCCTCCTGTGGACGCTCCTCCAGTGGACTCTCCTCCAGTGGACTCTCCTCCTCTCCTCCTGTGGACTCTCCTCCTGTGGACTCTCCTCCTGTGGACTCTCCTCCTGTGGACTCTCCTCCTGTGGACTCTCCTCCTGTGGACTCTCCTCCTGTGGACGCTCCTCCAGTGGACTCTCCTCCTGTGGACTCTCCTCCTGTGGACTCTCCTCCTCTCCTCCTGTGGACGCTCCTCCAGTGGACTCTCCTCCAGTGGACTCTCCTCCTCTCCTCCAGTGGACTCTCCTCCTGTGGACTCTCCTCCTGTGGACTCTCCTCCTCTCCTCCTGTGGACTCTCCTCCTCTCCTCCAGTGGACTCTCCTCCTGGTGGACTCTCCTCCTCTCCTCCAGTGGACTCTCCTCCTGTGGACTCTCCTCCTCTCCTCCAGTGGACTCTCCTCCTGTGGACTCTCCTCCTGTGGACTCTCCTCTCTCCTCCTGTGGACTCTCCTCCTCTCCTCCTGTGGACTCTCCTCCAGTGGACTCTCCTCCTGTGGACTCTCCTCCTGTGGACTCTCCTCCTGTGGACGCTCCTCCTGTGGACTCTCCTCCAGTGGACTCTCCTCCTCTCCTCCAGTGGACTCTTCTCCTGTGGACTCTCCTCCTGTGGACTCTCCTCCTCTCCTCCAGTGGACTCTTCTCCTGTGGACGCTCCTCCAGTGGACTCTCCTCCTGTGGACTCTCCTCCTGTGGACTCTCCTCCTGTGGACTCTCCTCCAGTGGACTCTCCTCCTGTGGACTCTCCTCCTCCAGTGGACTCTCCTCCTGTGGACTCTCCTCCTGTGGACTCTCCTCCTGTGGACGCTCCTCCTCTCCTCCAGTGGACTCTCCTCCTGTGGACTCTCCTCCTGTGGACTCTCCTCCAGTGGACTCTCCTCCTGTGGACGCTCCTCCAGTGGACTCTCCTCCAGTGGACTCTCCTCCTGTGGACTCTCCTCCTGTGGACTCCTCCTCTCTCCAGTGGACTCTCCTCCTGTGGACTCTCCTCCTGTGGACTCTCCTCCTGTGGACTCTCCTCCTGTGGACGCTCCTCCTCTCCTCCAGTGGACTCTCCTCCTGTGGACTCTCCTCCTGTGGACTCTCCTCCTGTGGACTCTCCTCCTGTGGACTCTCCTCCTGTGGACTCTTCTCCTGTGGACGCTCCTCCAGTGGACTCTCCTCCAGTGGACTCTCCTCCTGTGGACTCTCCTCCTGTGGACTCTCCTCCAGTGGACTCTCCTCCTCCTCCAGTGGACTCTCCTCCTGTGGACTCTCCTCCTGTGGACTCTCCTCCAGTGGACTCTCCTCCTCTCCTCCAGTGGACTCTCCTCCTCTCCTCCAGTGGACTCTCCTCCTGTGGACTCTCCTCCTGTGGACTCTCCTCCTGTGGACTCTCCTCCTGTGGACTCTCCTCCAGTGGACTCTCCTCCTCTCCTCCAGTGGACTCTCCTCCTGTGGACTCTCCTCCTGTGGACTCTCCTCCTCTCCTCCAGTGGACTCTCCTCCAGTGGACTCTCCTCCTGTGGACTCTCCTCCAGTGGACTCTCCTCCTCTCCTCCAGTGGACTCTCCTCCTGTGGACTCTCCTCCAGTGGACTCTCCTCCAGTGGACTCTCCTCCAGTGGACTCTCCTCCTGTGGACTCTCCTCCAGTGGACTCTCCTCCTGTGGACTCTCCTCCTGTGGACTCTCCTCCTGTGGACTCTCCTCCTGTGGACTCTCCTCCTGTGGACTCTCCTCCTGTGGACTCTCCTCCAGTGGACTCTCCTCCTGTGGACGCTCCTCCAGTGGACTCTCCTCCAGTGGACTCTCCTCCTGTGGACGCTCCTCCAGTGGACTCTCCTCCAGTGGACTCTCCTCCTGTGGACTCTCCTCCAGTGGACTCTCCTCCTGTGGACTCTCCTCCTGTGGACTCTCCTCCTGCAGGAGGACCAGTGAGGGGCGTAAGAACAAAGTGGATAATTCTGTTTCCTGTACACCCCCACAGGAGTCAGATTACAGACATGTGTCATGGACCCGCCCCCACGGCTCTGGAGTGTGCTGTACAAGTGTCTTTGTGTGTGTTTGACCCTGAGTCTGTAGTAAAAGATCCACCATCCCTCCCTCCGTCCGTCCGTCCATCTCTTTCTATTCATTTATTCATCCCTCCCTCCCTCCGTCCGTCCGTCCGTCTCTTTCTATTCATTTATTCATCCCTCCCTCCCTCCTCCCTCCCTGTGTGCAGAAAGCTGGCTCTGAAGTTCCACCCGGATAAGAACCCAGATAACCCGGACGCTGCAGATAAGTTCAAAGAGATCAACAACGCTCACTCCATCCTCGCCGACGCCACCAAGAAGAACATCTACGACAAGTACGGCTCCCTGGGGCTCTACGTCGCCGAGCAGTTCGGAGAGGAGAACGTCAACACCTACTTTGTCCTGAGCAGCTGGTGGGCCAAGGTACGCACAGGGACCAGGACCAGGACCAGGACCAGGACTGAGACTGGTCCTGGTCTCTCACTCCCCTGAGCCTGTCCCTGTTTTGCTGGTTCTCCTGGTCCCTCCCCTGCTCCTCTCTGGCTTGGTTATCCTGATCTTTCTCCTGGTCTCTCTCCTGGTATCTCCCCTGGTCTCTCCCCTGGTCTCTCCCCTGGTCTCTCCCCTGGTCTCTCTCCTGGTCTCTCTCCTGCTCTCTCGCCTGGTCTCTCCCCTGGTCTCTCTCCTGCTCTCTCCCCTGGTCTCTCCCCTGGTCTCTCTCCTGGTCTCTCCCCTGGTCTCTCCCCTGGTCTCTCTCCTGGTCTCTCTCCTGCTCTCTCACCTGGTCTGTCCCCTGGTCTCTCCCCTGGTCTCTCTCCTCCTCTCTCCCCTGGTCTCTCCCCTGCTCTCTCCCCTGGTCTGTCCCCTGGTCTCTCTCCTCCTCTCTCACCTGGTCTCTCTCCTGCTCTCTCGCCTGGTCTCTCCCCTGGTCTCTCTCCTCCTCTCTCCCCTGGTCTCTCCCCTGCTCTCTCCCCTGGTCTGTCCCCTGGTCTCTCTCCTCCTCTCTCCCCTGGTCTCTCTCCTGCTCTCTCGCCTGGTCTGTCCCCTGGTCTCTCCCCTGCTCTCTCCCCTGGTCTGTCCCCTGGTCTCTCTCCTCCTCTCTCCCCTGGTCTCTCTCCTGCTCTCTCGCCTGGTCTCTCCCCTGGTCTCTCCCCTGGTCTCTCTCCTGGTCTCTCCCCTGCTCTCTCCCCTGGTCTGTCCCCTGGTCTCTCTCCTCCTCTCTCACCTGGTCTCTCACCTGGTACCTGCCTCCTCAGGGCCTGTTCCTGTTCTGCTGCGTGGCCACAGGATGTTACTGCTGCTGTTGTCTCTGCTGCTGCTGTAACTGCTGCTGTGGGAAGTGTAAACCACGGCCCCCCATGGACCAAGAGCCAGACTTCTACGTCTCACCTGAGGACCTGGAAGCTCAGATGGCAGCGGACGAGAGAGGTGAGACCAGAGGGAGACCAGAGGGAGACCAGAGGGAGACCAGAGGGAGACCAGAGGGAGACCAGAGGGAGACCGAGGGAGACCAGAGGAAGACCAGAGGAAGACCAGAGAGAGACCAGAGAGAGAGACCAGAGAGAGAGACCAGAGAGAGAGACCAGAGAGAGAGACCAGAGAGAGAGACCAGAGAGAGACCAGAGAGGGAGACCAGAGAGGGAGACCAGAGGGAGACCAGAGGGAGACCAGAGGGAGACCGAGGGAGACCAGAGGGAGACCGAGGGAGACCAGAGGAAGACCATAGGAAGACCAGAGAGAGAGACCAGAGAGAGAGACCAGAGAGAGAGACCAGAGAGAGAGACCAGAGAGAGAGACCAGAGAGAGAGACCAGAGAGAGAGACCAGAGAGGGAGACCAGAGAGGGAGACCAGAGGGAGACCAGAGGGAGACCAGAGGGAGACCAGAGGGAGACCAGAGGGAGACCAGAGGGAGACCAGAGAGAGAGAGACCAGAGAGAGAGAGACCAGAGAGAGAGAGACCAGAGAGAGAGAGACCAGAGAGGGAGACCAGAGAGGGAGACCAGGAAGAGGACTCTCTTCAACCACACGATGGTCAAAGACCATCACTGCTTAAACCATGAGTCACCTCTGTACACAGTGATGTCACACTGTGATGTCACACTGTCTACTCTTCTGTGTCTCAGACGGTGATCCAATCATGATGCAGCCGTCCTCCGCCACAGAGACCACTCAGCTCACCACTGACGCCCGGCACAGCTACCGCACGGACGCTTACTAGGGCCTCCTCCCTCACGCCCCTCCTCACCCCCCCTCTCCCTCTCACTCCCCCCTCCCCCTCTCCCTCCTCCCCCCCCTCTCCCTCCTCTCACTCCCCCCTCTCCCTCCTCTCACTCCCCCCTCTCCCTCCTCTCACTCCCCCCCTCTCCCTCCTCTCACTCCCCCCTCTCCCTCCTCTCACTCCCCCCCTCTCCCTCCTCTCACTCCCCCCTCTCCCTCCTCTCACTCCCCCCCTCTACCTCCTCTCACTCCCCCCCTCTCCCTCCTCTCACTCCCCCCTCTCCCTCCTCTCACTCCCCCCTCTCCCTCCTCTCACTCCCCCCCTCTACCTCCTCTCCCTCCGGCCTCCATTACTGAAGACCATCAAACCCTGGACCCACTGTTTAGCATCAGTTTTGATTTGAACAGTTTCTTTAAACACCAGCGTCACACACACCTGGTGTCAGCGTCACACACTCCTGGTGTCAGCGTCACACACTCCTGGTGTCAGCGTCACACACTCCTGGTGTCAGCGTCACGCACTCCTGGTGTCAGCGTCACACACTCCTGGTGTCAGCGTCACACACTCCTGGTGTCAGCGTCACGCACTCCTGGTGTCAGCGTCACGCACTCCTGGTGTCAGCGTCACGCACACCTGGTGTCAGACCCGGCCCAAAGACCATGTGCAGTGACCCCCTATCACAGTATCTTGCAGCATTGATGGTAATGGGAGACTATGGCCCGTTATACTTCAGTTTAAAGCTTAGTTTCTCTGGAAAACAACCATAAGATTGAACCTGTTGTGACTAGATTTTAAACTAATGAGTTGAAGTTAAAGCCAAAGAATCTGCTTTTACTTCTTACAGAAAGAACGTTTCTGAGAATGTTCTCTCTGCTCCAGTTTGTTTACATCCTCTGATGGTGTCATCGTCCACAACCAGGAAGTGTGGTAACCGTGGTAACCGTGGTAACTGTGGCCAAACTGGGATCAGGGACATTCTTACATATATCTATTCTATTTTGTCCTATGCACTTTTAGCCATAAGGAGAAGTGCTCATGGCTGAAGATTATCACTGGGTTTGGCTTTCTCTTTCTCTTTCATTGAGCAAATATCTATAACCAGTGCGTTCGACCGTCTCCTCCTCTTGACCCAGACCCAGACAGTCTCCTCCTCCTGACCCAGCCCTTCTCCTCCTCTTGACCCGGCCCTTCTCCTCCTCCTGACCCAGACCCAGACAGTCTCCTCCTCTTGACCCAGCCCTTCTCCTCCTCTTGACCCGGCCCTTCTCCTCCTCTTGACCCAGCCCTTCTCCTCCTCTTGACCCGGCCCTTCTCCTCCTCTTGACCCAGCCCTTCTCCTCCTCTTGACCCAGCCCTTCTCCTCCTCTTGACCCGGCCCTTCTCCTCCTCTTGACCCAGCCCTTCTCCTCCTCTTGACCCAGCCCTTCTCCTCCTCTTGACCCGGCCCTTCTCCTCCTCTTGACCCACACCTCTCCTCCTCTTGACCCAGCCCTTCTCCTCCTCTTGACCCACACCTCTCCTCCTCTTGACCCGGCCCTTCTCCTCCTCTTGACCCGGCCCTTCTCCTCCTCTTGACCCAGCCCTTCTCCTCCTCTTGACCCAGCCCTTCTCCTCCTCTTGACCCGGCCCTTCTCCTCCTCTTGACCCAGCCCTTCTCCTCCTCTTGACCCAGCCCTTCTCCTCCTCTTGACCCAGCCCTTCTCCTCCTCTTGACCGCCTTCCCCTCTTGACCGCCCTTCTCCTCCTCTTGACCCAGCCCTTCTCCTCCTCTTGACCCGGCCCTTCTCCTCCTCTTGACCCAGCCCTTCTCCTCCTCTTGACCCAGCCCTTCTCCTCCTCTTGACCCAGCCCTGCTCCTCCTCTTGCCCCGGCCCTTCTCCTCCTCTTGACCCAGTGCTGACTCCTCCCTCCACAGATCTGACCGAGCCCTGAACCTTTCGCCTGGTTTTAGTTTTTGAATTGTTTCGTGTCAAAAGCTGTAAATGTGGTTTTGTGTTTTTTAGTTCTCTCTGTTCCATGTGTAGTTTCTGTTTCGTGTCCAGTCTTTTTATTTTAGCAACGAATCTGTTCAGAAGACGACGTTTTTTTGACTTTTAGATTTTATGCAAAAACATTTGTGTGAATATTTGTAATGTACCTGGAGGATCCATGTTTGTACATATCTGTCTCCTTGGACAGGACTCACATCTGTGTTTGAAATAAACTCATACTATTTCAGACTATTCTCATTATTTTACTTTGATCTTTTGCCTCAAACACATAACGATAGAAACCAAAGCAGAGGCCGTAAAACTCACAGGAAAAATGGAACCAGAGACACTGGTGCCGGAGACCAGGGCTGGTGCCGGAGACCAGGGCTGTTGCCGGAGACCAGGGGAGACCAGGGCTGGAGCCGGAGACCAGGGCTGGAGCCGGAGACCAGGGCTGTTGCCGGAGACCAGGGCTGGTGCCGGAGACCAGGGCTGTTGCCGGAGACCAGGGGAGACCAGGGCTGGTGCCGGAGACCAGGGCTGTTGCCGGAGACCAGGGGAGACCAGGGCTGGTGCCGGAGACCAGGGCTGTTGCCGGAGACCAGGGCTGGTGCCGGAGACCAGGGCTGGTGCCGGAGACCAGGGCTGGTGCCGGAGACCAGGGCTGGTGCCGGAGAGAGTATGGCGATGGTAACTAATAAAACAATGGAACCGGAGACTCGAGTAACACTCTCTTGTTGCAGAGAGTCACTGTGTTGGACTTTTGTAGTGAAGAGGGAGCAGCGTCTGTGGTCAGAGCTCTGGGTTTACCACTTACCGTACTTTCTGGACCAAAAGGAGCACCTGAATATATATGTTTAATGTAGTAGAGAGACGAGTCAATTAACTGTTAGCTTCCATGACTCATTCATCGTTCGGTCCATGACTCATAAACATTGTTCTCTAACGACTGAATTTTGATGTTTGATGGAGGAGCAGCAGGAGGAGCCTCAGATGTTTCATGGTTGAGCAGCAGGAGGAGCCTCAGATGTTTCATGGTTCAGCAGGAGGAGCCTCAGATGTTTCATGGTTGAGCAGCAGGAGGAGCCTCAGATGTTTCATGGTTGTGCAGCAGGAGGAGCCTCAGATGTTTCATGGTTGTGCAGCAGGAGGAGCCTCAGATGTTTCATGGTTGAGCAGCAGGAGGAGCCTCAGATGTTTCATGGTTGTGCAGCAGGAGGAGCCTCAGATGTTTCATGGTTGTGCAGCAGGAGGAGCAGCAGGAGGAGCCTCAGATGTTTCATGGTTGTGCAGCAGGAGGAGCCTCAGATGTTTCATGGTTGTGCAGCAGGAGGAGCTTCAGATGTTTCATGACCTGTTCTGGAGAAGGAACAGTTCGATTATCACTAAAACTAGTGCTTTACACCCAAATATACACCACATTTTTATTGCATTATTTTATCAATGGTTTGTTTAAAACGATATATGTGCAATTATCTGTTTTAGTTTAGTTTATAGATAATTAAGTTTAGTGAAAGTAGTCCCAGCGAGTACAGAGAAAATACTGTAGGAACTGTTGTCTTTCTCCGATGTAGCAGGGGACCGCTTTGACCGTGACCCTCAGAAGCGAGTGTAAGCCAAGCCCCGGCGATTCAAGATGGCGCTCTATTCAAATGAATGGTTGTGCTCAGTGGCGCTTTGTGACGGCATGGGGGCTGAAAGATTAGCGGAAGTTGCCTGAAACTCTTAAAGATCTATAGGAAACTCTCAAAGATCTATGGGAAACTCTCAAAGATCTATGAGAAACTCTCAAAGATCTATGGGAAACTCTCAAAGATCTATGGGAAACTCTCAAAGATCTATAGGAAACTCTCAAAGATCTATGGGAAACTCTCAAAGATCTTTGGGAAACTCTCAAAGATCTATGGGAAACTCTCAAAGATCTATGGGAAACTCTCAAAGATCTATGGGAAACTCTCAAAGGTCTATGGGAAACTCTCAAAGGTCTATGGGAAACTCTTAAAGATCTATGGGAAACTCTCAAAGATCTATGGGAAACTCTCAAAGATCTATGGGAAACTCTCAAAGGTCTATGGGAAACTCTCAAAGATCTATGGGAAACTCTCAAAGATCTATGGGAAACTCTCAAAGGTCTATGGGAAACTCTCTCAAAGATCTATGGGAAACTCTCAAAGATCTATGAGAAACTCTCAAAGGTCTATGGGAAACTCTCAAAGATCTATGGGAAACTCTCAAAGATCTATGGGAAACTCTCAAAGATCTATGGGAAAGATCTCAAAGATCTATGGGAAACTCTCAAAGATCTATGGGAAACTCTCAAAGATCTATGGGAAACTCTCAAAGATCTATGGGAAACTCTCAAAGATCTATGGGAAACTCTCAAAGATCTATGGGAAACTCTCAAAGATCTATGGGAAACTCTCAAAGATCTATGGGAAACTCTTAAAGACTATGGGAAACTCTCAAAGATCTATGGGAAACTCTCAAAGATCTATGGGAAACTCTCAAAGATCTATGGGAAACTCTCAAAGATCTATGGGAAACTCTCAAAGATCTATGGGAAACTCTCAAAGATCTATGGGAAACTCTCCAAGGTCTATGGGAAACTCTCCAAGATCTATGGGAAACTCTCAAAGATCTATGGGAAACTCTCAAAGGTCTATGAGAAACTCTCAAAGATCTATGGGAAACTCTCAAAGATCTATGGGAAACTCTTAAAGATCTATGGGAAACTCTCAAAGGTCTATGGGAAACTCTCAAAGATCTATGGGAAACTCTCAAAGATCTATGGGAAACTCTCAAAGATCTATGGGAAACTCTCAAAGGTCTATGGGAAACTCTCAAAGATCTATGGGAAACTCTCAAAGATCTATGGGAAACTCTCAAAGATCTATGGGAAACTCTCAAAGATCGATGAGAAACTCTCCTGTATTTGGGCATCGTCTGGTCCTCCCGGTTGTGTGCAGTGGATGATCTCCCATAATGCTTCGCGCCAAACACGCGTGTGTGGGTCTCACGCACGTGCACAGAGGGTCTCACGCACGTGCACAGAGGGGCTCGGCTCTGACCAATCAGAGCAGTTCATCAGAGCGGGAGTTAGAGCCAGAGCCAGACGAGCAGAGTTTGTGGCACTAAAGTGTGGATTTAAACAAAACCGAAGGATTTAAGAAGAAAAAAAGTTCAGGACGACAAGGGACACTAACATCCCCACAAACTCTGACCTTTATGAAAGCTGTAGGTTCTCTGTAGGTTCTCTGTCAGGTTCTCTGTCAGGTTCTCTGTCTGGTTCTCTGTCTGGTTCTCTGTAGGTTCTCTGTCAGGTTCTCTGTCAGGTTCTCTGTCAGGTTCTCTGTCAGGTTCTCTGTCAGGTTCTCTGTCAGGTTCTCTGTCAGGTTCTCAGTCAGGTTCTCTGTCAGGTTCTCTGTCAGCTGAGGTCGAGCTGTTTTAATATGCATTGAGTTCTATGGGGAAAATTTCTGGGTAGCCCGCGTGAATTTAGTCTGGTTCAGTCTGGTTCAGTCTGGTTCAGTCTGGTTCAGTCTGGTTCAGTCTGGTTCAGTCTGGTTCAGTCTGCAGTACCGCGAGAATCCCCTGAGCACATGAGTTATTCAGCTACAAGCTGTAGTACCCTATCCAGTTAATATAATACATCCATAGTGTAAGCGTGTGCTACAGTGCGCATGCGCAAAGAGCTGTGGAAACTTTAAATGTTTAAGACTGGCCGGGAGAGTAACGGTTGTGTTGGGCTGTTCATGAATAAACGGAGTCTGGTTATTTTATTCTCCAAAGATACTTCTGCCTCTGCTTCCTACCCAGCTTGCCCGTTACATTGGTGGCAGCGGTGTTGGTTGGACGTTCCTTCGGTATACATAGTTCCCACATGACGTCACTACATACGGGGATTTGCCGACCCGGCGCCATTTGTGTTGGCATGCTGTGGGCAAAACAATAGAAAAAGAAGCTGAAACGTGTTAATGTCGTGATAAAGTTGAAAATGGTCATCTCCTGCTGGGTCAATGGATGTTCTAATCGTGCCGGAGGTTCCGTTAAACTTGGATTTTACAGTATACCCATCATTAGACTTCATGAATGTGAGAAGACTAAGCTTTTGTCAGAACAACCACGGAGGTTATGGCTTGCGAAGATAAACAGGCAAGAAACTCCCTCAAAACACGCAAGAATATGCTCGGAGCACTTTGTGTCAGGTGCGTATCGTATCTTATAATGTGTTGACAGACGTAATTTACTCAGTACTAACTTGTGTATGCTGATATCTGGTAACTTGAGAGTTTCATTATTTAGATTACTTTATTATGAGGAGGATCGGTGTCGCGTCCGAGGCTCTCGAGGGCAACGTAAATGTATTAAATAGATAATAATAGTTCTATGGTGGGCTAAAACAATGTTCACAAACAGCATTGCTTCTGTAAAAAGATCTGTGTCATAAAATAAACTGCTCTTTACGCCTGGAAAAATCAGTTGCCCACCATTCACCAAAACATACGGTCAAAAACGCGGAAATAAACAATAACAGCAATCCAGAGTGTCCGTGTGGCATTAGCATTAATTAAATGAATTGTTAATATAATTAAAATAATTAAATGGAGCTCCAACTGGTATTAAATCTAAAGTTTTTGAGAAATGTTTGCATTGCTTGTTAATTTTTGCTGCATAATTTGATCAAATATGTAAAACATGTCCGTAGCACGTTAAACTGTGGTGCCATTGTATTAATATACAATTATTTGCTCAAAAGTTGCCCTTTTTTTCCAATTTGCGTTTGAATATCTACATTTATTCTCATTCTTCTGTTTAATGGAATGCACAAACACAGCAGCGTGCCATCAAAGATGGCGTCTCCGAGGAGGTCATGTGACATTCATTGGTCTGTGGGAACTATGTATACTCTGGAATTGCAGTTGGCGTTATTTGGTGAACTATGTTTGGAAATGTTCATGGATCTGACGCCGGTATGGCTGAGGATGAATGCAAGTACGTACCTCCGTGGACCCAGGGGGTGTGCACAGGGCTGGACTGGGACAAAAAAAGGGCCCAGGCATGTTTTTTCACGTTTTTTACAGTTTGTTTATACCAGGGATCGGCAACTCAAAAGGTTCAAAGAGCCATATTTGACAAAAAAACTAAAAACAACATCTATCTGGAGCCGCAAAAAAACCCCAGCCTTGTATAAATCTTATATGAGGGTCAAACGGGCTGAAGCTGCATTAGCTGCATTAGCTCCATTAGCTACCTTAGCTACATTAGCTATATATAAACCTAATATCTAAATGACAAAGTAAAGGCTACAAACACATAAAAACCATTCATGATTATCAAATGTGTGTTTTCATTTCAGGAGTCAAAAGAACCACCACTTTCCGACTTCTTTTCCCTTTAATTTCAATGCGTTGAAAATGCTGACACAGCTTTTTCTCAAGTTGGGACAGTCCCAGAGCAATGTCAGAATGGATCCCAGTCTTACTTCTGAAGGTAAAGGCTGTCAGTGGCATCTTTGAAACCTCACCTTCCCTTCTTCGATTGAAAATGATGACCTCACAAAGAGTCAAAACTGCCAGTTTAGACCAATGCTTAGACGTTGGCTCACTTATTAGGGTTTGCACATATTCAGGTCGACATACCTCAATATGTGCATGCATGGCTCTAACGTCCTCAGTCAGAGGGAGCAGGTCCGGAGTGTTCCACTTGGCTTGCCGGAGGGTCTGTAGGGCAGCAGAAGAAACACAGACGTCCCACCTCTTCTCAAAAAGCAGCCGGCTTCGTTGGAGGTTTTTAATAAATAGTTCATCAACACAATGCTCCATTTTTGAGTCACATTCAAGAATATCTGCTAGCTTTCTGAGGCTATGGCCGAGTTTGAGGGCCAAGGATGGAGTCTTGTATTGATTTGTTTCCTCATCATATCCAGCCACAGACCTGACTGCATCAATCACATGGTTAAAGTTGGAAGGAATAAAGAAATCCTTAATTGTTTTCAGTTTCCCTGCGGTTTTTGCTTCGTTAATTAACCTACCGACT